ACCAATCGCACCTATTATCTGCCCCACCATGCGGTCCTCAAGCCTGACAGCACTACTACTAAGTTACGTGTTGTATTCAATGCCTCGAATCCGTCAGCAAATGGAAACAGTTTGAATGATCTTCTCTATCCCGGTCCCATACTACAGGCTGATTTGACCATACTCATTTTACGGTGGAGACTTTTCAGATACATTTTCAATGCAGATATAGAGAAAATGTATCGCCAGATTCTTGTAAACCCCTCTCAGACCTCCTTTCAGCGTATCATATTCCGTAGCACTCCTCAACATGAGCCTCAAGATTTTGAACTCAATACGGTTACTTTTGGTGTAAACTGCGCACCATATCTAGCGATACGCACATTACTTGAATTAGCTAACATCAGCGAACAATCTAATCCCTCAGTTTCTGATATTCTTCGGAATTACATGTACGTCGATGATGTCCTCGGCGGAGCTCACACATTGTCTTCTGCTCTTAAGGTCAGGGACGAACTCATCGATGTCCTCACTTCAGCTGGTTTCTCTCTCCGAAAATGGACTTCAAACAACGATTTTTTGCTCCAAGGTCTGTCCCCAAGCCATCTTCTAGGCGCAGAGTTCCTGAAACTATCAGACTCTTGCACCACTAAAACTTTAGGCTTACGGTGGAATGCCGGTTGTGACCATTTCTACTTCCAACTTAAAAAATCTCCCGATAGAAGCTCTGCTAGGAAAAGATCTGTCTTATCTGAAATCGCCAAACTATTTGACCCCGCCGGCTGGCTAGCCCCTAAAATAATCGTAGCCAAAATGATTATGCAGCAAATTTGGAAAGACGAGACAAACTGGGATGAAGATCTTAAGCCATCCACACTTCTCCAGTGGCATGCTTTCTTAGATGATTATTCCGAAATAGAACGCGTCAAGATTCCACGTTATGTCGATTTCGATCCATCATTTTCCATCGAGTTACATGGCTTTTGTGACGCTTCGGAAAAAGCATATGCTGCCACATTGTATATACGCGCCGAAAATTTAGGCTGTGTTTCGTCACACCTCTTAGTCGCTAAAACGAAAGTTGCTCCCGTTAAATTTGTCTCCCTACCCCGAAAAGAGCTATGTGGAGCCGAACTTATGGCCACCATGATTGAAAATGTCCAATCTCAAATGAATCTTCGGAACTGCAAAGTCTTTCTATGGACCGATTCAACCATTGTCTTGGCATGGTTACAGAAACCTCCTAATCGTTGGAAAACATTCGTTGAAAATAGAGTTTCGTCCATTATTGAAAAAGTTGGAAGTCAATCTTGGTTTCATGTTGACTCCAAAAGTAATCCCGCTGATTTGGCATCTCGTGGACTCACTGTCGCACAGCTTATTTCGAATAACTTATGGTGGCATGGTCCGTCATGGCTTAGACTATCTCCGGATCACTGGCCTAGAAATTCGGCAAATTACTCGACAGACGAAGAGGTGAAAACTATTCATGTTCACCTGTCGCATATAACCAATACTGATATCTTGAAAGATTTCTCAAATTTTCCCAGAGCTTTGCGCATTATCTGCCAAGTGTTCCGTTTTTATTATCGTTGCTGCAGAAGATTGCATCATCAACTCGTAACAACTGACGAGCTAACCCGAGCGGAGTTGGATCACGCAAAAACTCGATTAGTAATTGCCTCCCAGAAGTTATATTTTAAGAAAGAATACGATCTCCTATCTCAAGGTCTAGACATTCCAAAGAAAAGTCATATCTTAACTCTAAGTCCCTTTCTAGATTCTGCAGGTGTTATGAGACTAAACGGTCGCTTATCAAACTCTCCATCGCTAACTTACGATGAAAGATTACCGGTTTTACTCCCCTATCATGCATCTTATACTCGGCTTTTCTTAACATACCTACATAAATATTCACTCCATGGTCAGAATGCTCTCATGTACCGATTAATGCGACTCTACTATTATGTTCCCAAACTTAAAGTTCTGATTAAGACTATCCTCTCTGTTCAAACATATGTATTTGAACATGATTTAAATGCTTATTTTTATGCGCAGGTTAAGTCATAATATCTATTCGATTAGTTGACTCGTATTAGGAAAATATGTTTGCAATAAAAACGCACAAACAAAAATACCAACATCTGCATTAATGATGTTTGTATTTTCCTCATTCCTAAGTATTTAGTTTAAATTTTAGTTTAAGAATGTATGAAGTGTGCGTTGGGTAAAATATATAAGAAACCCTTATCAGTTCACACTGACGTTCTTATCATACATATGTATATAAATAATGAGTTTGTTATGATAAGACATACGCATGTGCGTTGGGTTTACACATGTGTAAAACAACCCTTATTTTTCGCACATGTGTTTAAAACATGTATTCTAGGTTAGTTTTAAGATTTTTGTTCTTAGTTATTAAGTTTTTAGTTTTATAAATAAATTTAGTGTTCAACGAGAATCGGACGAGTGCCTTACAACCACTCGCGGTCTCTAAACATTCGACAGTAAATTTTGTATTTTTATTTAATACAAATTTTTTACATTTGGTCCTTCGAACCCGATCAGTGCCGTGATCAAGTTCACTGTTCGTAAAAAAAAGCGTCAATCTCGGCTTCGACAGAGATTGAATTAGCAATAGCTAATTATAAATCTTATATACATATAAAAAGTATATTAAAAAATAAATAAAATAAAAAAAGATGGCTCAAAGGCAACATCTGTACAAATCTCTGAAGGAAGAGCGACGAGCTCCAAGAGAGCTAGAAGAAACTCCACGAGAGTTAAAAAGAGCTCCAAGAGAGCTAGAAGAAACTCCACGTGAGTTAAAAAGAGCTCCAAGAGAGCCTGAAAATGCTCAAAAAGAGCAAAGAGCTCCAAGAGAGCTAGAAAAAACTCTACCAGAGTTAAAAACTGCTCCCATAGAGCAACTAGATGTAAAGAAAATAAATTTTCTTATATGTCTATGTTGTTATAAAAATGGACATGAGCTAGAAAAATGCAAAAAATATGCATCTCTTTCATATGAGGAGAAATTTGTACACCTTAACAAAAGGTTACAAATAGATATGAAAGGGATAAACTACTGCGATTCAGTAATATTACTGGAAAGAAAATTGGTACGTTGTACTAATTTTTTCGAGAAATTAAAGTATTGTTATTCTCTATGTGCAATGTTTGAGATTAACATTACACTTGAGTTCCACAGAACCAAATTAAAGTTTGAAAAATCTGTCGAGCAAATATATGAGACAATCAATACAATTCAACACTCTAAAGAAACAGCGGATGTTGCTGCTCAAATTTCCCTGGAAAGTCCTCACTATGGAGGATTTTATGATGGTGATCTAAAAGTATCGGAAGATAAAGAAGTAATTGACAACAAAGACTACTCAACCGAAGAAAGGCAATATATTGCAGTTCCAGAAAAAGAAGCCGATAATAAAGGAGTTTCTGGTGCTATTAATGCTATTGTTGGTAAAAAAGGTGCTTCCAAGAAACAACTCAATAATATCATCACTGAAGATAAATATGCAGCCGAAGATGCTAATAATAATGCTGATGAAGAGTTTAAAAATGAAAGAGGAGCTATCGCTGATGAAACCAATGCTAATGATACCACAACTGAAGCCAACATAGACAGTGTGTCTTCTATAAAGCCTGTGCAAAAGTGTGTATTAATGCCAACAATGGAAATGACAATGAAAGTGAAGCTACTGGTGCTGTTTTGGAAACTCCTGTTGTAAGGGATGCTTCGAAAGAACATGCTCTAATCATTACTAAAGAATATATTGATCTACAAGTAATTGAAGACAAATATGATTCTTCAGATCCTGTCCCTGCTAAGCGCATCAAAAGCAAATTGATTGCTAAAAATGAAGTTAAGGAAGTTATTAGTGTTATTGTGGAAAGTGAAGAAGATGAATATGATTTTGATTTCTCGAGCACTTATCATGATGCTATTGTTGATGAAAAAGGTAATTTCAAGAAACAACTCAATAAATATGCCACTGAAGATGAATATACCGCTGAAGGTGCTAATAATGCTGATGAAGAAATTACAAATGAAGTTGAACTTGATGATGGAACCAATAAACAAGTAAAATCTTTTAATAATGATGATGTAGAATCTGATGTTGAAGATGATGAAATAATATTGGATATAGATGGGTTCCTTGATGCTAAAGGAAAAGACGCAACTCCAATACATCATTCTGGAGCAAATATGGACTTAGATAAACCGAGCCAGGAGAAGAGGGCTAAATTATGGTCGTGGGTTCCTGGCTACTACTGCTACAAATATAGGAAGAGGAAGCCATGCCAATGATTCTGTTCCGGTTTATTATACATAAGTATTCATAAATTAAGATATACATATTTAGAAAAAATAATTATACATATATTAATATTTCCCCTGGCAGAATGTTCAAACATATGTATTTGAACATGATTTAAATGCTTATTTTTATGCGCAGGTTAAGTCATAATATCTATTCGATTAGTTGACTCGTATTAGGAAAATATGTTTGCAATAAAAACGCACAAACAAAAATACCAACATCTGCATTAATGATGTTTGTATTTTCCTCATTCCTAAGTATTTAGTTTAAATTTTAGTTTAAGAATGTATGAAGTGTGCGTTGGGTAAAATATATAAGAAACCCTTATCAGTTCACACTGACGTTCTTATCATACATATGTATATAAATAATGAGTTTGTTATGATAAGACATACGCATGTGCGTTGGGTTTACACATGTGTAAAACAACCCTTATTTCTCGCACATGTGTTTAAAATATGTATTCTAGGTTAGTTTTAAGATTTTTGTTCTTAGTTATTAAGTTTTTAGTTTTATAAATAAATTTAGTGTTCATCGAGAATCGGACGAGTGCCTTACAACCACTCGCGGTCTCTAAACATTCGACAGTAAAATTTGTATTTTTATTTAATACAAATTTTTACACTCTCCCAATGTCGACCATGCGTTATTCAAAAACGACAGAAAAGCCAACAAATAATGGCGGCCTTACCCCCCGAAAGGACCACACTCTCCCGTCCATTCACCAATACTGGTGTCGATTTCGCTGGTCCTTTCGACATCAAAACGTATGCAGGTCGTGGATGTAAAGTTACTAAGGGTTACGTGTTAGTTTTTGTCTGTTTCGCTACTAAAGCTATCCACCTCGAGGGTACAAGTGAAATTTCAACTCAGGCTTTCTTAGCAGCGTTTGCTCGCTTCTTCTCCCGTCGTGGTTCTCCAAATGCTATGTACTCGGATAATGGCACAGCTTTTGTCGGCGCTTCCAATATCTTAGACTCGGAAAAATCGCAATTCCTCTCGCTTTTGCGTCGAAAATTACTTGATCAAAATAGCTTTGTTCTTTTAGACTGGCACTTTATCCCTCTAGGAGCGGCGCACATGGGCGGTCTTTGGGAAGCAGGGGTAAAGAGTTTTAAACTGCATCTCAAACGAATCTCTCATAGTCAGAGTTTTACGTACGAAGAATTCTCCACTATGCTAGCCCGCATTGAAGCCTGTCTCAATTCGAGACCGCTCAGCCCTCTAAGCGATAATCCAGATGACTTGTGCGCACTGACCCCTGGACATTTCTTAATTGGAAATGCACTTTTATCACCCCCAGAACCAGACTTGTCTGATCATTCACTAAGCTATGTGAATCGCTGGCAAAAATTGAAGATTTTGCACCACCACTTTGCCCAGAGATGGAAAGAGGAGTATCTAAAAGAACTCCACAAACGCTTCAAATGGAAGTTTCCTCAGCGTGATTACGCTATCGGCGATCTAGTCATTATAAGACAAGAAAATTTACCCCCTAACCAGTGGCGCCTTGGCCGTGTCGAAAACGTAGTTCGCGGTAAAGATCAAAGAGTCAGAGTCGCCGACATACGAACTGCCAATGGCATAGTAACCAGGCCAATCGTGAAGCTCGTATTACTGCCCAACCCTGAACAGCTCTAATATTGTTTTTTCTATCTATTTACAGCAACACCAATGCCCCTTCCACAGCGTAGAAGTCTTTCTCCCTTAGAAGAAAGAGGTTGTAACAACCGTCAACCTAATCTCCGTCGTAATAAACACTTTGATTGCCGTATCTGTCACAAAAATCACCCGCTCCGAAAGTGTCTAAAATTTAAGAGGATGAATGTTGCAGAGAAAGAGAAAGTAGTCAAACGATACCGATATTGCGAAAACTGTCTGGCACACTCTCATCTAGTCAACCGCTGCCGTAACACAGATCGCTGCCGACAGTGTGGTAGTAGGCATCACACCCTATTACATCGCCACGAGCGTTTACGGCAAAACCAGTCAGCTCCTGTTGGACAGACGTGCTCAAGTTTGAGGACTGTCACGTTGTTGCCTACGGTTGTGGTAAAACTTCAGTTAGGAGAAGAATGGGGAAACGTGAGAGGCCTACTTAACCCATGTGCTGAAGTAAGTTCTGTCGCAGAGTTCCTAATAGATCGCTACAAACTTCGAGTGGAAAAAATCGGATCCGATCTCTGGACTACAGTAAAGCTTCGACCTCGATTTTCTGAGAGTACGATATTGACCGTGACAGCAAAGATTGACAAAAAACTCCCCCGCAAACAGCCAACAGAGAAAATAGACGAAAGAGTTGCTTCTCTTTATACAAACCTTCGTCTCGCAGATCCCAGCCTTTATAAAAACGACGATATTAATGTAATTCTTGGAGCTGACATATATCCGCGCGTCATCAAGTCCAGCTTACAACCTGAATCTGTCGGTTCTCCCATGGCACAAGACACGATGCTAGGTTGGGTAATCATTGGCAAATTCGGGGTTTAATTGTTTTTATTGCTATATATATTACCCATACATAATACCTATAAAGTATAATATTCTGTTCAGTTGAATTCTGTTTGGATATTTGAATTTTGAAAAAGTTATTATAATTAAAAACTGTTAAAATCTATTAACAAGTGAAATTGTTAAAATCTCTTGAATTTTTAATATTGCTTAAATCAATTTTATATTTAAAAAGAATTGTTAATTATATTTGGAATTAGAATTGTTTTAAATATTTCTTTTCTTTATCCTACATACATAATATCAAAATATGTTTTGTATTTTATCGTATACGTACATATATCTTACATTGGAATTTATTGAAATTAAAATGATTTTTTACGTACAATATTATCTACATATCTAAGAGAAAATTCGCGGCTTTCCTTCAGTTACACTGTAGCAAGGGGGCCGGAATGTTTAGTTCTAAAGTAATTATGAATTTAATTGTTTTAATCAGAAGTGCATTTATGCAAATATTACGCAATGTACCCTAAGACAAGAAGTTCTCTCGTTACTCGTTATTATAACCCTTTTATTTATGTGCTATAGAGTAAGAGAATAATGAAAATTAGAGTTAGTACGAAAAGTGAAAGCAAATGTAAAGGTTGGTATCCCGCATAAAATAAACCAAAAGTACATATTACTCTGATTAACCCCCGCATTTTTTATTTCTAATCTTTGTTAAATTTCTTCACCACTCCCCCGTCAACACATACATACATACATACATACATACATACATACATACATACATACATACATACATACATACATACATACATACATACATACATACATACATACATACATACATACATACATACATACATACATACATACATACATACATACATACATACATACATACATACATACATACATACATACATACATACATACATACATACATACATACATACATACATACATACATACATACATACATACATACATACATACATACATACATACATACATACATACATACATACTGTCTGTTCCCAGGTATAGGGCGGCTGTAACAAAAACTCCTGGCGGTTAGGTGAAAAACGCTAAGGGTAGGATCCCGGAAATCAAAACAAAATATGGAAAAGTCCCAGAAAATTAACAACGTTACGGTGCAGGGAGTAAAGACCCCAGTACTGGCGGCTGAGTGTAGTGCGCAAGCAGGCTACCCGTCGTCGTTATCCCATGACTGCAATGCTACTCCGGTTTCGAGCTTGGCTGGGGTAGCAGATAATGCTACAAGTACTAATATGGGTAATAATCCCCCCCAGAGACGCTCAGCCAAAAAAAATACTGGTTCTCTGAACTGTGGAAACGAGCAGAGCACGAAAGATGTTACTCCTTTGAGAAAAATCCCTGACCAGAAATATGGCGCCTTTGTGGAACTCGGTATCATAATAGTCGACCTAATGGACTATGTAAAAGGCCGAAACAACGTCCACAATCCTATCAAGGAGCAGGTGACTGCAATAAAAGCAGCGTATAACAAAACGCGAAATCTAATTGAGCAAGGAAATCCAGTAATCACCCGTGGATATGATGAACAGGCAACACAAACATCTCCAAAAATATGGCCAGGTAAGAAGGAGCCAAAAAGAAAAACTGACAAAGGTGATGCAGCAGTGAAGATGCCAACCCCAAAAAGGGTGAAACATACCTCGCAAAAAATCGAAAGCTTTGCGATGCCAGATGTAACAGAAACGAAGAAAACAACTCCTGCGAAGGCAGATACAGAAGAAAAGAAAGAATCCCCAAAACCGGAAACAAACCAAATAATTCCGGAAAACGCCTGGATTACTAAACAGAACAGGAAGAAGAGGAAGTTCCGAAAGCCAAAGCCAGATAAAATTATAATATCTTCTAAGGGTAAAGCAACATTTGCTGATATATTAAAGAAGATTAGAACCGATCCAGAATTGAAGGCGCTAGGAGAAGATGTAAGCAAAGTCCGTAGGACCCAAAAAGGGGACCTTCTTCTGGAACTGAAAAGTGCGAGCAAAACTAATGGTGATCAATTCAGCGAGAAAATACAAAACTCACTGAAAGGAGAAGCCGAAGTCAGTACTCGAAAAGAAGAAATAACATTAATTTGCAAGGACTTGGACGATGTAACCACAAAGCAGGAAATATGTGATGCCTTTTGCAAGGAACTAGAGGTATCTAATCTAGACGAAAACATGGTCAAAGCTATGTGGAAGACATATGGAGGCACTCAAGCTGCCAGGATAAGTCTACCGGCTGCCATAGCAAGAAAAGCGATAGATCTCCGCAAAATAAAAATAGGATGGTCTATATGTCGCATACGAGAAACTTCGTCACTTACTAAGTGCTTCCGTTGCCTAGAATTCGGCCATATATCAAAGTTTTGTAAGGCCGAAATTGACAGATCCAGTAAATGTATAAAATGCGGACTTGATGGACATATTGCGAAAAACTGTAAAGGTGAACTGAACTGCATGTTATGCAAATCCAACGGAGTAAAGGACCTTAAACACGTAGCAGGAAGCTATAGATGCCCCATTTTCCAGAAGGCCTTGAGTAACGGAAACAAATGAACTTTATCCAACTCAATATAAACCACTGTGCCGCAGCCCAGGATCTCCTATCACAGATCATCTGCGAACAAAAAATTGATGTCGCAATTATATGCGAACAATACAAAAACCAAGAAAAGATTGTCTGGGAAAGTGATTCATCAGGAAGATCAGCAGTGTGGGCATGTGGAAACAAAGCCATAGAAGAAGGTACCAAACAGCCAATGGAAGGTTTCGCTAGAGCAAAGATTGGAGGCATATTCGTTTACAGCTGTTACATGTCTCCAAACATTCCTCTGTCGAATTTTGAAAGATTGGTGGATAATCTCGTAACTGACGCGGCAGAACACAACCCAGTCGTCATTGGAGGAGATTTTAATGCCTGGGCACGAGAATGGGGAAGCCGAATAACAAATGAAAGGGGAACAATTCTGCTAGATGCCTTTTCAAGACTTGACGTAGTCTTGGCGAACAACGGAGGAACCTATACATTCAGAAGAGCTGGTATTGGATACATAGTTGATCTAACGTTCGTCAGTTCTAGCCTAGCCAGAAATATGGAATGGGAAGTCAGCGAGCAATATACGCACAGCGATCATCAGGCGATTCTATTTAAAATAAACACCAGAGGTCCCGAACGCACACCAAGGGAGAATACAACATTCCGAGGATGGGCAAAGGAAAAATTCGATCCGGATGCCTTTGCAGAATTCTTCGGTAGCCAGCAAATTGATGATGGTACGGCATCTAGCATGACAGACCAAATCACAGCAGCACTAAGGTATGCATGCGATGCTTCCATGCCTACAAAAAGGTCAAACAACAGAAGGAGGGAAAACTACTGGTGGAATAATACCATAGCAGCCTTGAGAAGTAAGTGCTTAAGTGCCAGAAGGCAGTACCAAAGGAGTAGGTTTAGCCCCAACCATATTACAAAAAGAGAAGCATACCATCAGGCAAGAAAAGACTTCAAGAAAGCCATTAACCAAAGCAAATCTGATAGCTTTAAGCAACTGTGCAATGAAGCAGACTCCAACCCCTGGGGAAACGCGTACCGAGTAGTTATGTCTAGACTGAGGGGAAAAAGGTCCCCACAGATCACATGTCCACGTCTCATAGACAAAATAGTAAAAGTACTGTTTCCAGAAGGTGAGCCATTCACAGAGGAGCCATCCACTCTCCCTCGACCTGATATTAATGTAACAGAGGAAGAAATCATAAACTAATGCTCAAAGATCGGAGATAATAAAGCCCCAGGTTTAGACTGTGTCCCTAATAATGCCCTAAAACATGCTATTAAGTTGAAGCCGACATTGTTTAGCAAACTTTTTAAACAATGTCTTATGGATGGTATATTCCCAAATATCTGGAAAAAACAGAGACTTATACTACTACCAAAGCCAGGAAAAGTTCTAGGGGATCCCGCATCTTATCGACCTATATGTCTGCTAGATACTATAGGAAAATGCCTTGAAAGAATTATATATACTCGATTATTGGAAGCTGTAGAGACTGTAAACGGGCTATCCGAGAGACAATTTGGATTCCGAAAAGCAAGGTCAACCTTAGACGCAATCAACTATGTAATCGAAATGGCCAAACAGGCAA